AAGAAAACCTAGTGGAGTAAGAATCAGAAAATCTAAGTTCTAAATTCAAGTTTGGTTAAGTAGCCCTGAAACCTTCAGCAAGTTACCACCTCAATGGTTTCCAATTTTCTGATATGCAAAATGAAAGGACTGATTATAAATAAATTTATGCCAAACTGCACCAGACCAACAGGCAGGTAACCAGGACCTAAGACTGTCACAACAGAAATCTGTCCACATTGAAATAGCTTAAACGAAAATATAAAATTGGGATTTCTGTTATATTAATCTTAAAAGTAAATTTTGGGCCAGCTGAGTGTCACGTTGGTTAAGAGTTGGCATGGGACACCAGCTGAGCAGAAGGGCTGCGGTTCAGATCCCACATGAGGGCCAGTGATGCTGCGCCCTCTACAGCTCTACAGCTAAGATGGTGAACAACAGCTCGACCTGGAGCTGGGCTTCGGTGAGTCGCCGGAGATGGTGTAGGCTGCAGTGGGCTGCCGTAAGTTACCATGAGTAGCTGGCAGCCGGCGTGAGCTGCCGGCAGCTGGCTTGAGCTGCTGTGATCCACCATGAGCGGCCGTCCAATGGCCAGCAACCAATCTGCCTCAGCCGGGAAGACCGCAATGATCACAATACAAACATGGGCCAGTGAAGCGACATCCTCCACAACTAGACTGAAGAACAAAAGGACAGCAACTTGTCTGTTCCCCTCCCCCAATTCCCCAATAAAATCTTAAAAAAAAAAAAGAGTAAATTTTGTTGACAAACAACTGTGGAAGTACACAGGAATAGAGAAGTATGATGTTTCACATGAAAAAAAAGACTATTGATATACACTGATAAGCCTAAACTGTGGTGAAAATAACCCAAAATTTAATATGAGCTAAATACCCACTCATAAGAGACAGTTATTATACATTCTCCAATGGAAAAAAAGATTGCATGTCAAAAGCTTGTAAGTCTATTTTTGGGAAACTTTATAAATGGAGGCTAGGGGTTTCTATTTTAACCCATAAGAGCATAAATGACCCTTGAGAATATAATCATTAATGTTGTAAATATTTTTTAGGGGGCCAGATGGACTCATGTCTTGTTAGGGAGACCACTTCATAGATGGTGTAGAGGCCTGACCACCGCACTGTATTTCTGAAGCTGATGTTGAATAATATTGTATACCAACTATAATTATATATACATATAGTCACGGGATGTGACGTAGAATGTGGTAATGGGGTCAATGGAATTGTAATAGATAAGTATGATATTGAAGGTGGGAGGGCAGTAGATGGGGGAGGAAGCTTGTTTCTTTTGAGGGGTGAAAAGGATAACTATTGCATTGTTCTGTACACCTGAAACCAGTAATAAAAAATAAATATAAATAAATAAATAAATAAATAACCCTTGATAGAGCTAAACTATATAACATAATAACAAATGCTTGAGTTTGGAGTCCTGAGAATGGGGCTTATGTCACAGAAAAGATGAGTTTTCTCTCATTCTTGGGAAAAAAGACTGAAAGTAAGCAATTATTAAAACTAATTTAGTTTTGTCACACCCTTTTACCTAACTTTCCAATCCGTTTACACTCTGATAAGGCACACGGCCCTAGTTGTGCTGCTGGAACAATCCTATCTGGTCCTACCTACCAAAGGGTTCTGTGTTCCAACAGCCCTTTCTTGAGGCTTCCAACAGTAATTCTGCAACCATGGCACAATTGATAAACATTTTGACAAATAATCCAGAAAATGTGACCACTCCTAGACTATAACTAGTGCTAAAAGAGACCATGCTATTTATAAATGCAAAAGTATTAGAAATCTAAGTATTAAAAATTTTAGAGACATGGTCAAGGAAATTATGCTACATCCATACAATAGAATACTATTACACCATTTAAAAAAAGGTTTACAAATAAGCTGTAATGACATGGAAAATGTTTAAAAGATAATGCTGAATAAACAAAGAAGATACTAAATGCTATGTTCTTTATGAACTCAACCATGGAAAAAAATGCATTGAGAAAGACTAAAAGAAAACACCATTGTTAGGTAGAATTATAATTTATTGCTTTTTTTCTAACTAGTACACAAATCCATGCTTACAAGATTTTCCCATATTAAATAAATATCACTTTTGTTATATAAAAAAAAGAAAATTGGAGAAGTGTAAATTCAAATAAATCTCTATTAGAATTTTAGAGTGCTATAAATAGTGCTAATTATCAGGCAATGTGGAAATAGAGCTTTACAAGCAAGGGAACATTCCTTTCACTTTGTTTGCAAAAGAGTGTAATTATAACTTATTTTAAATTAACCACATTATAAACTAAGTTGTGATTATGAAAATACTGCTTATCACCACTGCTACCGCATTTTTATAGATTCAATAAAACCTATTACGGACACTTGTTTCCCTTGATTAAAGATAATGGATTTCTTTTAATATATCTATCACATAGAAAATAACACAGGGTTGAGATTTAGACAAACAGGAACAAAAGGTTATATAAATTGAAAAAGTCTTTATCCCATTTTACAATGCTTTCAAGTCTTTATCCCAGACACAGTAATAGTTTCTGTCCCCAAAACTTTTCTTGAATATAACCCTATGTATATTGTATTTATACATGAATTGCTATTCTATACACCTTATTTCACTTGCCACCTTAGAAACATTGACATATCAGTATGTACAGATACTTCATTCTTTATAAATAATAAATATTCTATTGTATGGATGCAACACGATTTGTTAGTAACCCCTTACTGACATTTAAATTATTTCCAATTTGCTCTATAACAAATAAGACTTCAGTGACATTCTTGTACAAATATCTTTATGTACATGAATAAGTATATCCTTAAATTCTTAGAAGTAAAACTGTTGAGTCAGGTAGTATGTGTACATTTAAAAGTATCTGATATTGCCCAATTGCCTTCTAAAGAATTTGTACCAATTAACACTCCTGGGGAACATTTCTAATCAACATTAGGTTTTTAAAGCAAACTCCAATGGTGTCAATGGCCAAGAAGGTAACAGATTAGTGAAGCAGGATGGGTAAGGAAATGTCAAATTGGAGAGCACATTCAGTCATTGAAAGCAGGAGCTTCTACTCAGTCCAGCCTCCTAATAATGCCTTCTAGGAATCTGTGCTCAATGTTGATAGATGGTCTAAAAGCCAAAAATCTGGACTTCCGTATGAAATCTCCAAATTTTTTAATGTTGACAACTCATTAAAATGTTAGAATTGGCATGAGTAACAAAACACATGTGTGAGTGGGAATATTGGTATGAAATCTTGGGAGCTTCCCCGGTGAAATCTGAAACCAGGCTCTACACACAGGGGCCAAGCAAGGAGAGACCCAAGAAAGAGGAAGACCATTCCAGGTTGGTAGGTGCCACTTTTAACAAGCAAGGGAACTTACTTACGAGCTTGTCTTGGGCGCCTGCAAGATGAGATCTTCACACCCACCTACCAAATCCTGAAAGTTTATACAGAGGCCTTAACTGGGCTGAGTCACATATACCTTACAGATAGTCTACACACATTCTCTCTCAAGACTGTGTCCCTGAAAATGGCTCCCACTGTGGGAATGGTGGGCAGACTGCACATTCCAAGGACAGGAGAGGGGAGAGGAGCTTCTGATTGCCCAGGTCCAATTCTCAGGCCAGCTGGTGGCTGCGTCTTCTCGATTAGCTCCTCCAACAGGGAGTCATCGTGGGACCTCCAACTTGTGACTTATGTTTTAGAACTTCCATTCTCCCCCACCTCACATCCAATGAAGACTCATGGCAATAGGCTATATTCAACATATCGTTTTAAAGCTGGGATTTCCTTAGAATACATTTTACTTTGTTTTTGGGTGAACTAGAAGATGGATTTTATTAACTATGTGGTTGCTAACCACTCAAACTATTTGAAATAACAACTCTTGCCCAGATATTTTCATTTATCAGTTTCCTACAATATGCTCCTTGACTTACATTTTTATTCGTTTAGATTGCTGTGTTTCTGTTTTCTTCCTTCTATGGAACTACCACAAGTTTTAACACTTGAGTTATTTTCCTATTAGAGTAATCTTCTTTTACCCGAAGGGAAAAAAAATCTTTAATCATTTTTCTATACTACCTCCTATTCAACATATCCATCTACTTACAGGAGAAATTGTGGAAGTAGAGTACATTTAAAAGATTTACTGCCTTTAGTTTGAATAGTGTTTTAACCCATATAAAATCTTTTTATATTAACTATATTTTTATAGTTTAAAAAATAAAGACAATGTAAAAGAATAAATCCTGAAATTGCTAGATCTATATAAAAAAATATCAAACTCATGGATAAAATACCATGAGATTTTTAATGTTTCAAAAATATTTGCATAAATATTTGCAAAAGGACCAATCTGACAAAAACATGTATAATTACAAACAGAAATGTTTGTAAACATTAAAATTATAAGCAATGTCGTATTAAAGAAGTCACTTATTTGAAAAGACAGAAGGCAATGACCTCTTCTACAATTAAATTTTGAAAACCAAAATTTAAAGTCATTTGCTTCATTTATTATAAAAAAGCTTATGAATCTTAATTTTAGAGCTAATAGTAATTTTTAAAGAATTCCTAGTTTTTAATGTAATCTGTTGAGAGATGTTTTAAGATTAGAAAAAAAAAAACAGTAACAAAAGAAGACCAAAAAACATGTTTTCAATGTGTATGTCTGTCTATATACATATTACATATATATATACAGTATGTATTTGTCTATATGGAATATGCATTGTCTACATTTGTCAGTGACAAATATACCGGCTGATCATATGAGAAAATATGCATTCATATGCACATTCATGGATATGCTACTGGATAGTCTACTTTTAGTTTCGAGATACAAGGTCCTAAACATTACAAATTCCTCCATTAGCATTTCTAAATATGTACATGTTCCTACTTACCTTTAAAAGGTATAACGTAACTACTCAAGTGTGTCTTTTCAAAATAAAAACTGATTAGACCACCCTAAAATTTAAAACCAACACTCTGTATTAGATATATTTTACTGGAACTCAACATTTTAATCCTAAAAAACAAATTTAAGAAAAATTACATATTTAAATTGTAATCTGCACATCGGATTACTTCTTTAAATGTGTCATCAGAACTAGCAGATAAAACAAAAGTAATTTTAAAATATGGTAAAATAGTATATTTTAATTTTACCTGAAATATAAATTAAAATAAGGCATAAGAAAAACTTTGAGACCACAATATATGGAAAACTGACCACAGAAAGATGCAAATAAATCATACAATATAGTATATAAGCTTTAGTATATAAATTAGATGTCATATCATCAGCTGTTTGTTAGTCACATCAGTCTAAATTTTACATAGTAAAATATTAAAAAGCTAAAAAACATCATTGCAATATACATTCAAATGGGAAAATACATATTTGTGGCTTTATACACAATCTCGATTAATCCATTCTATACAATATTTTTTCCAAAATATAAATGGCACTTTACATGCAATAGAACATACCAGGCTGGATGTCCTAATATATTTTAATATATAGCAAAATAAAGAGAAAACATTCTTTTAACAAGACAGTTACATAGCAGAGGTGGAATGTATAATAAAATTTTGCCTTAACACAATCTTGGATAAGATTAAAGAAATATCAGTAAGGACATTTTCTATTACGTTCAGTTAGCATTTTTTAAAATGAAGAGTACTGTGATTTTATATTTTTTAATTGTATCACAAACTGAGAAAACATAAAAGGGAAAAAAGGGTGGGAAGAGAAAACCTGATCCTTTATGAATTTTAAACATCAGCCCTGCCTATCGGCTGCATTTAGGCTGCTTTTCTGTTGACAGTTTCCTAAATTACTTCTGCCACTCCGATTTGTGCATCAGTAGTCAGATGAGTTCTCCAGACTTCATCATGCCATTGTGTAACCATAGCTGCCACAATGTAGTGCCACTAGAAGTCTGTCCTTGAGTATTTCTTTACTTGGGTATTCAGGTAACTTAAGCATGTTGATGCTTTAAAAGAAAAATGCACCACTATTAAATAGGAAATCTATGAAATTTCTGATTGTTTTGTCTAGCAGTGAAAACACTACACAAAATTAACATAAAACCACCCTCTGAAATTTGCATTCAAATTGGAAAACCCTGAAGTAGTATTTAAAAAGTAAAAAAAAAAAAAAAACAAAAACCTACTGCATTGCAGTTTCCTTTAGCATGCAAATGTAGTGGAAGAAAATAGGTACCTTTCAGACAAAAATAAATAAGCAATAGGGTAATTTAGTTAGAAATGATGGTATAACTCAGTGATACTATGACAGTTTATCTTTAGTGATAGCTAAACTATATTCAGTTAAATTATAGTTTCCTCAAACATATTCCCGACCAAAAAAGGGGGAGGTAAGGAACTATCGGGTTGTCAGAAAAGTCATGACGCATTTTTGCAACGAAAAACTTAGAAAAAATACGTCATAAGGGCCGGCCGAGTGGCACGTTGGTTAAGAGCTGGCTTGGGACGCCAGAGGGCCCCGGTTCAGATCCCACATATGAGGGCCAGTGACACTGCAGTGTGTTGCCATGGGCTACCGTGTGTAGCCAGCAGCCAGTGTGAGCGGCCAGCAGCCGCAGTGAGCGGCGGTCCAGAAGCCGGCGACTGATCTGCCTCCCGGGAAAGAGCGCAATGATGGTGCCAAGTTGGGGCCAGTAAAGCAACGTCCTCCACAACTAGACTGAAGAACAAAAGGACAGCAACTTGTCTGTTCCCCTCCCCCCAATTCCCCAGCGCTGTTCCCATACCCCAATTCCCCAATAAAAATCTTAAAAAAAAAAAAAAATGTCATGTGACTTTTCCGACAACCAGTATATTGCTACTTATTTCCTAGTGATTCCAAAATGCTGATACAGACAACTACTGAGGTTTTCCTTTCAATGTAGCAATACAGTAGTTAGACTTTTGATTATTCAAAATTAATCAAAACAATTCAAAATGCATTTAAGTAAAACAATTTAACATACCATGTGCTTGAAGTCGGCAGAAGATTTGGAGTATATGGCACAGCAGCGATTGTAAAGTTTTGCAATCCACTTCCACCCATGATATTAGCAAATCCACCATGTGGGACCCTGGAACTAACAGTTCATATCTTAAGTTGTAATCACGAAAGGAAAATCTTTGTGATACATATATTTCAAATTCTAAGTTAGGTTAAGAATATATTCAACTCTAGGTTACTGACAAGATTACATTGTTGAATCTGCAAAACTCCAACTCATTACTAAAAGTTGCTCTCTGTGGCCAGTTAGCAAGCTTCCATAGAGACACCCTTCCACATTTCTATAAGCCATACTAAGCTTTTAAATGGCTACAGCACATACCTCTGCTATTGCATGTAGCATGCAGCTTGTACAATTATTTTCTTTCCTATGTCTCCCTACTAAACTGGGACTGGATTGAGGCCCCAATACGTCATATTTGTACTTGCATCCTGGGGTTAGCAAAATGACTGGCATCTAGTAGATGTTCATTAAATACTTGCTGAATAAATGAATGTTTGCTTGATTAATTACAGCAACAGAGGCTTACATGTAATCCGTACAATTTCCCTGTTTGTAAAAAAATATCTAGGGTCAGAGGGGTTTTGTTTCTCACAATGAAAAAACTAGAAAATTCTTTACATTTCTCTTCCCAGACATTCAAAACATCAGATTTTTTTTTAATATCATCTAACACAGTGTTTACCCGAAAATAAGACCTAGCCAAAGAATAAGCCGTAGCATGATTCCTCCTGGATATGGAGGGCACACACCCCTCACATGAGGGTTTTATGACCTGTTTCACGAAGAAGGGTGCTTTTCCACAAACTCCTTCAGCTTAAAATATTCAGTATGCCAAGGTGTCATATTTTGGCACCTAAAATCATGCGAGGGCTTATTTTCCGGCTAGGTCTTATTTTCGGGAAAACGGGGTAATGAGACCACAGGAAGGCTAACACTTAATACATAAATACCACTACAAAATTTAATCTTGGGTACACAGCTATAGAGAATGTAATTACATTCTGAAATGTAATTACTTCTGAAATTCTATTGTTTACATTTGATTTGAAGGAAAATTAATATTTCAAATTAGCCTTTGTATATATACCATGATTAAATAAATTGATCTTGGAATGAATTCTGCTGTTTTTAAAATGACATGCTATAGTGCTTCTTGGGTAAATTACTATGATGACAAATATTGAATGTATAGGTAATAAATGCACACTCAAAGGCAGTAAACTGTCTAATATTGAAAATGTTTTCTAACATGATTCATAGTGCAAAGAATTCAGTTCACTTAAAAACAACTATTGAAACTTTAATAACCAAAACAATCTTCAAAAAGAAGAAAAAGGTCAGAGGTCTCATAGTTTCTGATTTCAAAGCTTAAACTACAAAGCTACAGTAATCAAAACAATGTGGCACTGGCATAAAGACAGACATACAAACCAATGGATTAGAACAGAGAACCCCAGAATTAACCCTCATATATATGGCTAAATGATTTTTGACAAGGGTGCTAAGAATATTCAATGGGGAAAAGACAGTCTTCTCAACAAACTCTGTTTTGAAAACTGGATATCCACCAAAAACATGAAGTTGGACCCTTACCTAACACCAATTACAAAAATTAACTCCAAAAGAATTACAGACCTAAACTTCAGAGCTAAAACTACAAAATTCTTAGAAGAAAGTATAGGGGAAAAGCTTTATGACACTGGATTTGGCAATGATTTCTTAGGTATGACACCAAAAGCACCAGCAACAAAAGAAAAATATAAACTGGGCTTCATCAAAATTAAAAAGTTACATGCCAGCCAGCCGAGTGGCTCAGTTGGTTAAGAGCTCGCTCAAGAGTGAGAGCTCTGAGCAACAGAGTCGCCAGTTCGATTCCCACATGGGCCAGTGAGCTGCCGCTGAGCTGCCAACGGGTGGCAGGATGGCTCAGCTAAAAAAAAAAAAGTTACATGCCAAAGGATACCAGGAACAGAGAGAGTAAAAGAGTAAAAGAGGTAACACGAAATGGGTGAAAATATTTTCAAGTCATAAATCTTATAAGGAATTGATATCCGAAAAATATACAGGTCTCCTACAATTCAACAACAGCAACAAAAACCCAATTAAAAAATAAAAAGACTTGAACAGACATTTCTCCAAAGATACACAAATGGCCCAAAAGAATTTGAAAAGATGATCAATCAGCATCACTAGGGCAATGCAAATCAAAACCACAACTGCTTCATATACATTAGGATGACTATTATTAAAATAAACAAACACAAAAACACTAAATTCCCCCCAAAAAACAGAAAATAACAAGTATTGAAAGTGTTATGCAAAAGAACTGAAAGCAGAGAAACAGAGACATATTTGTATATCCATGTTCTTAGCAGTATGCCTGAATCTTGCTAATAAAACACTAATGCATCAGCAATTCCTAGTTAGGGCAAAAGAATATCTAAAGAAGGCCTGAATATGTCTGTAAACTGAAATAAAATTCAACATTAGTTAATCTATGCATAAGAACATTTGCCTAAAATAGTAACAAAGGCAAACAAAAATGAAAAGAGATAAAAGGCCAAGCTGTTCTCAATTTCCTATAAAGCCAGAATTTTAAAACAAGTATACATATCATTTTATCAAGACAAGATGAGAAAATGAGCCTTGACACTGATTCCTACAAATATTACAGCATAGTAATCAATTTAATGTTTTTCATATAACTAAATTTTTAAAAATAAGCTTAAAAAAATTATAGATTTTCCAATTTTAATATCTAAATTGAAATTATTCTGCAAACTGATATTCACAAGCAATCTCTGAAAACTTACTCTTCTTCTAAACTACAAGCAAATATAACTGGACTGCATATTTGAGTAATCAGAGGATCTTATGCTAAGATCATGGCTCATCAAGCTTAGGCATGTATGAGAAAAATAAAATAGTGTGGCTGAATATTATGACACCTGGCAAAATTATTATGTATAAATTTTACATTTATACAATGTAAAATTACAGTTAATAAAAATGACTTGGCCCTTGGTATCTGCAGGGGATTGGTTCCAGGACCCCCTGAGGATACTCAAGTCCCCTGGTGCTCAAGTCTCTTATTTAAATTATTTGCATATGACCTATGCACGTCCTCTGGTATACTTTAAATCGTCTTTCAATTACTCAGAATACCTAATACAATACATAAATATACTGTTTAGGGAATAATGACAAGGAAAAAAAGTCTGTACATGTTCAGTACAGACACAACAAGCAACCATCACAGGCCTAACTACATAGAACACATCAACAACAACTTAACTTTTTTTCCAATATATTCAATCTGAGGTTGGTTGACTATGTGGATACATAAAGCTGACTGTACATCTATTGTATACACAGAGAAATCATCAAGTCTGACTTTCATTTTTCTTACAGGGTAATGAAACAAGATTAAGACATTTAAGACAGTCTTAAAGACCAATAAAATATTGTCACTACCATAAAAATATTTAAAAACTACTTTTTACACTGACTCTACAATTGAACACATTTAGCTTATCATTTAAGCTTCCACTAAATCATACTATGGATATGGAGACAGACATTTTAGTATCTAAATATAAACAAATGGATAATCAGAATTACCAAAAAGGGCTAAAGAAAAAAAATACACACTTTAGGTTTAGAATTGCATATGCTATACCTATACTGACTGCAGGTCTAAGGAAAGTTAAGGTTTAAAAGAACTTAAGACTTACTGTTTGAATTCAAAGCAAGGACTCTATGTAGACTAAGTGTTGAAAGGTGGATTCTTCAACATGAAGCTTAGTTCTGTGTTGTTCCCCTCAGAAATTCCTTGGCTTATACTCTTTATCCTCATCTTTCACCTCGGCTTAAACAGATTCACATGCTACACTTCATGACCAGTTAAATAATAAGCAGAGCAGCTCTTTTCAGCACTGCTGACAATGACTCTACTCCTGGCACATGAAGGGCACTGTGTATTACTAATCCAAGTGGTTTTTCATCCTATGAGTGCAGCAATTTAACAGATACTTTTAGTACCAAAGAACTTGAGTAATTGCTTTCTACATTATAAAGACACTGACCAAATCAAGCAGTGGGGGGGGGGAGGGTAAAATAATTCAATAAATGGTATTTAGATATAAACCACTTAGAAAAATAATAAAAGAGCCCTACCTACCTCACAACATAAACCAAACTCTAGTTGGTTTAAAACTGGAATGTAAAAAAGGATCCTATAAAAAAAAAATTACAAAAAAAAAAAATGTAGATAAACATGTATGTAAAACCTTGACTATCTTGGTAAGGATTTGTAAAAACCAAAAAGGAAAGTACTGATAATAAACTTGCAATGTAATTTAAAACTTTTATTTTATAAATTAAATTTATAATTTAAATTGCATGAAAACCTCCACATTTAACTTAATAAAGTTAAAGGGCAAGTGATAAACTGGAAAAACTATTTAATGTCCCTAAGATAAAGAGCACTTAAGATCCATTTCTAGTCAAGATGGCAAAGTAGGTGAACACTGTGCTTGCCTCCTCTCACAACCACATAAAAATTACAACTAAGCTACAGAACAACCATGACTGAGAATCACCTAAAGTCTAACTGAACAGAAGTCCTACAACTAAGGACATGCAGAAGAACCCACCTCAAGACTGGAAGGAGGGGTGGAGATGAGGACAGGGCTGATCCTACATCCGTGTGGTGGTTAAAAGTCATGAGGGGATCTCGGCTGTGGCGGTCCTCCGGGAGGAGGGAAGGGTCCCAGCCCAGGGTTTCCGTAAGAGAGAGAAGTCCTCACAACTTCTTACTATGAAAACCAGTGGAGGGCCGGCTGAGTGGCTCAGCTGATTAAGAGCTCGCTCAAGAGTGTGAGGTCTGAGCAACAGCGGTTCGACTCCCGGCCAGAGCTGAGCTGCCAACAGGTGGCAGGATGGCTCAGCTAAAAACAAAACCAGTGGAAATTATGGCTGAGAGAGACAGAGGGCGGATGGAGTCCAAGATGTTTCTCTTAATGGGCCGGCACATGGACTTATCCACTGATGGACTTACTCCCTCTGCGCTC